CTTAATACAGAGGACTAATGACAACAACCAGAAACAGCTGATCACATGGGGATCCCACACGAGCTTAACGAGGGGGCGTGGCACACGGAAGGAGTGGACGATCAGGGCAGGACAGGGGTAATGTTGGGATAAGATCTTTATCGTTTTGGAAGCCATTAAGAAAAAAATGCTGCTCTTGTTTTATCCTGTTCATTTCCTGTTTAAATGCTAAAAAATAAAAACATATTTAGGTGTAATTTTGGGGGGCCGGGAACCAATTAATTGGTTTTCCATTATTTATTATGGGAAAGATTCGATCAGAACTCTGACTTTTTAGGATTCGATCCGGAGTCCGGAACGGATTAAGTTTGAGAACCGAGGTACCACTATACTTTATTATATATGTTATAGAGTGTGTGTGTGTGTGTGTGTGTGTGTGTGTGTGTGTGTGTGTGCGTGCACCAGCGACTGTTTGCTAGAGTCGCTGAGTCACGTGACAACTGGGAGCGGCATTTGAGAGAGAGATTGAAACTGAAGTATTGATCTCATTAAACTGGTATCGATCGATATCAATACCAACATTTTTATCGATACTTGGATCGATCCGCCCACCACTACCTCTGAGACTCTTGTCAGGCTGTGAGGTGTCGATGCTGAAAGCTGCCTGTGCTGATGAGAGGAAGGATGTTGAAACGCTTTTTATTCTGCGTAAAACTAAAGATTGATTTTATGATGAATTTAAAACGGTCCGACTGGCTGGTACTTTGAGACCTCTTCTAAGCAGAGTTTCCACTCCGTCTCGTAATTAATGATAAATCCTTTATTTACCATTGTCACAAGTACAGGTATATTGGAATGGTTCTATTCACCTACTTCATCTTGTGCTCCTTACCTTGGGGGTGACGGTGCAGGGTCAGCTAATGTGCGGCACTACTGGGGCTGAGGGTTAAGGGCCTCGTTCAAGGGCCCACAGGCGTGTGATAGTTATGTCAAGGTCAGGGCTCAAACCAGCGACCTTCTGATCACGGGCACAGAGACTTAGCCTGCTGAGCCACACGCCGCCAAATTTTACAGGATCGTTCCATATTGTAAAATAAACTGTTTCCCATTTTGATCCCACATGGGACGTGATTTTGTCTCGTATTATCGGACCAGGTGATCGATCCTGGGGAGGTGGGGGCATCGTGTTCCTCATTTTTTGAGGCTGGTGAAAGTTCAAACGTCGGCCAGCAATATCAGCCCATATTGATCCATCGGACTGATATCTTGATTTTGAACAAATACTGACATGTTAAACGATGTACCGTACATCCATAGCTGTCAGTGTTTTACTAGTTTCTAAGAACAGATTTAACTACTAGTCAGTGATCAAGACCTGATATTAACTTTAATACATTAATACAGATGGTCAGGATGGGATTTTTTATGTTTAAGTGTTAGAGGTCAGACCCTGAGGCTGCAGACTGCAGACAGCCAGTCTTTTTTTAATTTTTATTAATATTCTTCATGCATATGAGCCCTGACCTCTTTCATCTCGATCTTCTCTGGCTGCAGATGGATGGTCACACTTCTCCTGCTCCTCTGCCTTGTAGACCATCTCCCTGCTGTCTTCGAGGCGGACTTCTGTGAGTAGATGCCTCACACTGACTCTGTGGCCTAATTAGCTGTATATGTTAATTCTGATCTGTTTTATTAATTATATGATGGTGTGAGTGTCTGACATGGGTGTCGGCTGTAAAATCCCCCCCTTTATAGGGGACGGTCGGGTCTCTCACTGTGTTCCTGTAACTTAGCTGCCTGGTTACGCTGTAGCTGCTCTGTGTGATGATGCTGATTGTGCTGAATTTAAGCTGTGGTCCGTAATTAGGACAAATTCCCCAGGCATAATGAATGGACCAATGAATGTGGAGGGATAGAATTATGTGTAATTATAATACTGATATTTTAATGACTTTGTTCTGTATGTTAATCAATTGTAGCTGTTTCTCCTGGAGAGACTGTCACACTGCCCTGTGATGGAGGAACCGATAAAGACATCAGTGAAGTTGAGGTGTTTTGGATTTTTGGAGGCACGAATGTCTGTCTGTTTCAAAATGGGACTTGGTGTGAACATCCTCACTTTGTTAACCGGATTCAACTTGGATCCACCCGACAGAGTAAATTCTCTTTGATCATTAATCCTGTCAGACTGCAGGATCAGGGGGAATATACTTGCGTGATCAATGGTGCAGTAATGCAGATTAATTACCTTTCTGTTAAAGGTAAGTAAACCCTCTGACCGGCCACCTTAAACCTTAGAAGACCCCGTCTCTGTGGAGCAAACCCTCCTCCAGCTCAGCCTGCCCCCCTGGCCTGCTTGAGCAGAGCCCCCACCCAGAAGATGAGAGCAGTAGGGACCCCCCCTCTGCAGCTCCCCGCTGTTCCCAGGCCCCCTGGTCATTTGCGTTTCACACACGGCTGTAGCTCTGAGGCTCAGACTGACTCTGCTGCTTGTGTTTCTGTGTGTCTGTAGGAAGCTGGATGCAAAGGGCTGCAGAGACCCCACCTAAAGGTTTGTGCAGCTTTACTTTACTCTGTTTTACTCTGTAATTGAGGCAGTTCTCATGCTGACATCAGGCCTGTTGGACATGATGCACCCATTAATAGGCCTCCTGTCGGCTCTGTCTGTCTGACAGGCCTGATCACAGGAGACCTGAGGCCTGAATTATATTATAGATGTGTTGTTCCTGCTCTGTGATTTTACATGACCTACCACTTCATGGCTGAGTTGCTGTTGTTCCCAGTTGCTTCCACTTTGTTATAATACCACTAACAGTTGACTGTGGAATATTTAGTAGTGAGGAAATTTCACAAATGGGCTTATTGCACAGGTGGCATCCTATCATAGTATCTCGCTTGAAGTCACTGAGCTCCTGAGTGACCCATTCTTTCACAAATGTTTGTAGAAGCAG